TACTATTTTAAAGGGAAAAGACTTCACACAGTGGATGGAGAAAGAACTGGCTTTTTTCTTTAGAGAAAACAAAAAAGAAGATACATCAATTCAGAACGTATGGGATACAATGAAGGCATATGCCAGAGGCTTGATAATAGACTATTACAAGGAAAAGAAACACCATGAAAAGATTAGCCTCTAAGGCATTAGAGGTTGAATATAAAGGACTTGAAAAAGAGTTACAGAAAATGCCACAGAAAAAGGACATTAAGTTAAAAATGGATATAACCAAACATAAAATGGGTCTAATAGAAAAAGAAGAACTAGCACAGAAAATTAGAGGTGCTAAACAGAACTACTTTGAAGATGCCAACAAACCAGGTAGATGGTTACCATATAAATTAAGAAAGGAGAAAGAATCAAGGAAAATATTGTAATTAATAGACGACCAAGGCCAAGTTTGTTATGGTAGTAAAGAGAAGGAAATCATATGAGACTATTATGGGAAACTATACACACAAGAGAATATTGATGAGGAAAGAGTTAAACAGTATTTACAGAATGCTAATCTACCCCAGATACCTAAAGAGATTGAAAAAATGTTAGAAAGCAATATAACGATGATGGAGTTAACTGAAGCACTCAAGAAGCAAAGTAATGGAAAGGCACCAGGCCCAGATGGACTTCTGGCAGAATTTTACAAAACATTACAAGAATCATTGAACCTTCCATCCTAGAAGTTATGAATGAAGTTATGTTAAAGAAGAGGATACCTAAGTCATGGTCAGAAGCTTATATTACACTTATTCCAAAAGAGGCCGATCCATTACAAATCAAGAACTATAGACCTATTTCCTTACTATACGCAGATTATAAAATTTTTGCTTCAATATTGGCAGAAAGACTTAAAAATACTTAAACAATTTTATCCATCCAGATCAAAATGGATTTCTGCCAAAGAGACAAATTAAAGACAATATGAGAGTAATCTTGGACACTTTGGAATACTACGAGGCACATCCTGAAAAACAAATGGCTTTCATATTTTTAGATGCACAGAAGGCATTTGATAATGTGAATTGGTGATTCATGTTATTACTGCTGGAATAGATGGGCTTTGCTAAAAAAATTATTCAAGCAATAGAAGTTATATATCATAAGCAAACAGCAAAGGTAATGATAGAGAACTGACAGACTCTATCGATATAAGAAAAGGAACAAGACAAGGGTGCCCACTATCACCTCTGTTGTTTGTGTTAACTTTGGAAGTGCTAAATAGAAATATTCGAGATGAAAAGAACATAAAAGGGGTGAAAATTAAAAAGGAAGAATTTAAATTGCAAGCATTTTCAGATGATCTGGTTTTCATTTTAGAAGACCCACTAGAAACAGCATCAAAACTGATAGAAAAGATAGAGACATATGGAAAGGTAGCTGGCTTGAAAATAAATAAAGATAAGACAAAGATCTTGACAAAGAATATGCTATCAAGACAAAAGGAAGAACTGGCAGATCTATTGAAAATCCAGGCCACAAATAAGATCAAGTACTTGGGGATATATTTGACAGCAAGATGCAGTACACTAAAAGAGAATAATTATATCAAACTTAAGCAGCAGATAGCGCTAGATCTGGCGAAATGGGAAAATTTAGAACTGTCATTAATAGGGAGAATATCAACAATCAAGATGAATATATTACCCAGAATTTTATATTTGTTCCAAACAATTCCAATTAGGCTTGGAAAAGATTACTTTGAAGATTTAAATAAAATTGTGTTGAAATATATATGGCAAGGTAAGAAAGAGAGAATAAAGTTAAAACTTTTGCAAGATGCTAGAATAAGAGGAGGATTTGGTTTGCCTAATTGGGAGTTGTACTACCAAGCTACAAATTTGATGTGGGTTAAGGAATGGATAACAATAAGAAATACTAGATTGTTGACATTAGAAGGACATGATCTGTTGTTGGGGTGGCATGCTTTTTTATGATATAAAGGAACTAAAAGACAGGGGTACTTTAGAAGACATTATATATGGGAGTCTCTGTGGTTAAACTGGGAGAAGACTAAAAGACAATGTTATTTGAAAATTCCAGTCTGGTTATCGACAATTGAAGCATTTTCTTATCCTATAATATACAAAAAGGAACAAACAGTTAGATATGGTGAAATATTGAATGAAAAGGGTGAACTCAAATATATACAAAAACTAGAGGAACAAGGTATAAAGATGAATTGGTTTTCATATGTGCAAATACATTCAAGGTATGATAAAGATTCTAAAATAGGTTTCTATAGTAAATTGACTGATTTAGATAAGATTTTGACAGGTACTGATGAAAGGTGATTAAAAAATTGTATGTATTAGAAACTAAATTAGAAGAAGAACAAGTTAAAGAAACTATGATTGCTTGGGGGAAGAATTTTGGATATGGGATTGATTTAGAGAAATGGCAAAAATTGTGGTCTCAAAATTATAAAATGACAATATCAACAGCATATAAAGAAAATTTGTATAAGATGTTTTAAAGGTGGCATTTTCCCCCAACAAGAATAGCAAGAATGTTCAAGAATAAATCCGAAAAATGTTGGAAATGTCATCAGACACCTGGCTCATATTACCATATGTGGTGGACTTGTGCGGATGCTAAAAAATTATGTGAATTATTTTATATTTCCTAATCCGTTGAAGTCATCCATTCTTGTACCTTATTCCTCCACCAACTTCACCCATTAGTTAGATACTTTTAAGTGCGTGTATGATTCCGTCATGAACAAAAACTACTAATTTATTTAAACAATGAATATGGATGCTTTTAAAAAGCTAACATTTAGGATCCAATTAGTCACAGGTTCTGCCATCTGCTATCTAAGAAAAGCTAGGCAGGCTGGATTGGCCAGTATCTCGCTGAGGAAAAGGAAATCTCAGGGTTGTAGACTAGACTGAAGAGTTTTTAAAAACCCAAGAAGAAAGCTATTGCTAACAAGAAAACTAAACAATTGTGTTTAGTATCTCACTCACTTCTCTAGAAGTGAAAAGATTGTCAAATTTGACAATCTTCTGCCATCCTCAATAAACATATCCAAGCTCATATTCTTTAAACTTTAAATATATTCTGATAAAACTAGCAAAAAATGTTCTACCCCAGAAACAGGTGTGGGACACACAGATATTTGTTTCCTCGCATAGCAGCCTAGAGGCGTGTTCTTAAATAAACAATCTCCTTCCTAAATGCCGCAGTGATCTGACTTCCAAACAAGTATGTATAGACACTGGCTAGCACTATAAACTTCCGGTCATGCATAATTCAGCTGAACTGTTTATTCAGAATAAAAAGAAAACAAGAAAATTGTGAAAAGGAACAATCAAGAGATGGTGAAAATTTGAATGAATAAATTGCTTTATTCTTTCTTGCTGCCAAAATAACAGGCAGCCCTTTCTACTCTAGACTTTTGCCAATCTGACATTCCTCAGGTATAGCAATTATTCCCTGTATTACTGGAATGCTGTAAGGCAAGGACATCAAACTCGCGTCACAGCATAGTCATGTGATGTATCACAAGTTTTTTTTCCCTTTGCTAAACCAGGTGTGGGCGTGACCAGTGCGTGACTCATCCCGTGGGCCGCGAATTTGACAGTCCTGCGTGTAAGGGATCATATAAATCAGTGTTTCTCAACCTTGGTCACTTGAAGATGTGTGAACTTCAACTCCCAGAATTCCCCAGCCAGGAATGCTGATTGAGGAATTCTGGGAATTGAAGTCTGCACACCTACAAGTGACTGAGGTTGAGAAACTCTGGTGTGAATAATAAGAAAACGCATCTTGAAAACATCAAGCTAGGAAAGGTTGCTATATATGAAGCTGAGATTCTGGATGATTTTTCTTTAAGAAAGTAGCATATTTTGTTGTTCAGATTGTGTAGCTACAATTCTTAATAGTAAGGTAGATGCCAACAAGGAGGAAAGGATTAATGAAACAATTGTCGGCTCTGGTTGCATCCCTATACTTTTACCAAGACTTCTGGAATATAGGATTCTTGAAAGAAATTAAGGTACAAATTTTTAAAACTTTTAGAATGTGATCAAGCCAGCTATTATTTCCAGAGACAGAGCAGATTTCTGTATAGTCAGCACAACTCCTTGAAATTTGAAATGTTTTTTTTTTTAAAAAAACTAGTCAAGCATTTTTTACCAGAACACATTAATACTATTTCATTCCTCAATTCTCAGTTATATGTTTACAACACCAGCACAGTATAGGCACAGAAATAATAAACACTTTTTTAAACCAGATATTAGTGGTATTTTCTACTTAAATACCTTTTGTTAACGCTGGCTTTTTAGAAAAAGCACAGGTGCATGCATGAATGCCCGCACACACTTTATTCATTACTTATAACCAAACGATCACTGGAGTTTAATACAGATGAATTACAGGCGGGGTAGGTTCCCCCGTAGCCATAGCTTAGTTGTGGAAGCCAACCTGGGACATATCAAAGAAGCATTTAAACTTCACACAGGTATAGGCACAGGTAGGTAGTCCTTGGCAGACGGAAGGATGCCAAGAGCTTGGAGCCTCACCCAAACCTCGCCGTTTCGAAATCTGGTTGGGAATTTAGGAATCCGGACCACTACAACAGCGCTGCCCGCTTTTAAAGCAACTCGGCGTAGGCATCGCAATCACACGATCGCCTAACTTCGCATCTGATCCAGCCCTTTCTTTTTCATTACCTTTTTCGAAATCACCAGAGGGCTTAAAATTTCAACTTTCCTTGGGTCTCTCTGTGCATGTGGGTGTCTTATAGCTCTTTGAGTCTTAAGGAGTAAGTAATCTACACTGTTCCCCCCCCCCGCCTCAATCCCCTGCCCAGAGCCAGCTCTTGCCGGACACCCCCGCCCCCCGTCTTCCCATAGCTCCTCTTGTTCGCCTGCTTGTCCTGCCGCTCCTGCCTAGAGACCCACCGCGCCTTTTCCTTTTTCCCCTCAGCCCGGCCCCGCCCGAGGTTTAAACCTCACCAAACTGAAGGCGCCGCAGCCCAAAGGAGGTCGGGACCCAAGGCGGGTTTTCTCCTCGAACTTTCCTGACGTCGGGAGGCAGGAGCGGCGGCGGCAGCAGGTAGCTCTCTTGTGTCCCGAACTGGAGAGAACAAAAGCTTCCAAGCCGGGGGAGGGAAAGAGGGGACGAGCAAGGCAGCGAGGGTGGACCATTGCCTGCAAGCTGGAGGGTCTCCCCGGCTGCAGCGCAAGCCCGCCTTTGCTACCCCTTTCCTCAGCGCAGCCTCCCCGCTTCTGAGCCGACGGAAACAATCGCCCCGCGGCAAGGAGGAAGGCGAAGGAACCCGTCTGCCCGCCACAGCCTCCTCCTGCCCGCTTCAACCTCGTCGTTTCGCTAGCCCCAACTCGCCGTCGCCAGCTTTCGGGGCGGAGTCCGAGGCCGAAAGAGGTGGAGACTCCGGGCTCCGGCCCCCAACGGTGCGCGCCAGCTAAGGCGAGCGCTCTCCCAGGGCGCACCTTCCGGAGGGCCTCGGGGTAGAGGCGTCGGCAGAGCTACGGAAGGAAGGGTCTTTGAGAAGGGAGGGGGCGGGGGGTTGGGTGCGGGATTCCCGCTTGTGGAGGCCCAGTCTGCGTTCCAAGTACTCCGCGCCTCCTCTCCTCCTTCGCCCCCCCTCCCCGCGCCTCCGTACCCGGTGGCGAGGAATGTGGGTGAGAGCAACCGGGGCTCGTGCGTGCGCAACAGAATGGGAAGCGGGGGCGTTGCAGCTGTTGCCGCCGCCGCCGCCTTCAGCCCTCTGGAAAGAATAAAAACGCGGCTGGCTTGGCCCAGCGTCTTATTTGAGCGGAGAGAGCAACCTTGCTCCTCTTTGGAGGTGGGTGACTCTCGCCCGCAAAACGGATTATCTGTTTCGGAAGTTGAAAGAACGGGAAAAAAGGGGGGGCTGGAGTGGAGGAGTTAGGATCACACCAGTCAAGCTCTGTGTGCACGATTGACGGCGAGGGGGAGGGCTGAGAAGCCACAAGAGAACACCACGGCTACACACAGGTGTAACAGGTGTAACGCGTGAAGATTCCGGCTCCTTTTTTTTTTCCTCATGTGAGTGGGGGGGGGGGGGGGGGGGGTGACTTGTACGTGCCGGTACTTCTCTGAAGCACTGGAAACACTTGGAATTATGAAAAAGGGCCTGTGGTCCCTAAGTGCAGACGCTCTTCGGATCAGATAGGAAAAGATGTGATGGGGGATGGCCGCACTTTCGATCTGGTTTTAGGCCAATCCTGCCACTGTCGTTCTCACTGAAGCATGGAAGAGCTGCCGTTGCACAGAGATACAGAATTATGTGTGTCGAAATAAAAAGTTTATTGATAGCTGTTAGAAGTGTGTGTTTTTTAAAAATGATTAAAAGGGCTAATCTGAAGGGGAGGAGGGAGGGAAGGAACGAATAAGGAACGAACAGAAGAGCAACTAACTAGAAACAGTGGCATCATATCAACTTTTTTCAGGGACAAGGAACCTATATTCAAACTAGTACCAAAGCAAATATAGCTGTTGAACACTGAATTTACAGCGTAAGAAACTACCTTGTTTGAACGTGCAGAGTTTTGCAGCAAGAATAAATGTGAATGCCTGGAATGTGGAAATTTCAGACAATATTGTGAGTCACCCACAATCATGTTGCACAGAAGGGGCAGCTACATAAATATGATAAATAAATAGTTTCATATTTCTGGGATCCAAAAAAAATGGCCTAATTGGAAACCACCTATTTGTTCAAGTTTGTATGCATGCGTACAGTTCTGTGTGAGAGAAGAGGAGGAAGGAGGAAGAGTTATAATTTGGGACTTCAAAAGAATCTCCCAAATCTCCCCATACTTTCAACTACTTGAATGTACTTCGTTAAGTATGAAGATTTATAGAAGCACTCAGCTCCATTGTGTATTATAATGTAGGAGACCACCCTGAACTCTTTCAGAAGAAGGATACTTAATGCTCTCAATCAAAAGGATTGTGCAGATAGTCAGATTTCCCCCTCAGTATTTATTTATGGCAAGAAGACAAAAGAAATAGAAAACATAAGGGAGTGTATTGAATTCCACGAATAGTATAGAATGCTTGTTCTCAAAACATTAGATATCTTCTAATGTTTCAATGGTAGAGCAGAAGATCCCATTCAATTCCTTTCACTTTAAAAAGCAAATTATAGATGTTCAGAAACATCTTCCTATCTGTAAACCTTAGGGCATGAGATTTGTCAAAGTGGACAAATGGTATAAACAGAATATAATTTTCTAATTAGATGATGGAAAACGCCTTAGTTACAAAGGTATAGTCTGGAAGTTGATAGAACAGCCCCCTGAAATCAGGAGGATCCAGAATTTTCATTTAAGGCATAAATGGTCAGTCTCGGTTAATCCTATTTAAAAACACATTATGTGAAATCCTGGCCTGAGGAAGGTGAAAGGAAATGGAAGAGAATTGGCAGCAGTAAGATGGATGGATTGGACCAGGTTAGGTATACATCCTTATAGAGAATATCAAAGTGACTGCTAAGAGTCCACACCAATTTAATGATATATAATCAGTTCTGCATGTTAAGAGTATCTAACATCTAATAAAGATAAATAACCAAATCCAATCCTGTGACATGCAGAATGGGTAGAAGTAGCAGAAATCAGTCCAGAAGACTTTCTCTTCAATAAATTTTGACATATAGGCATATGTGTGTCCATATTTATAGGTCTGCAAATACACATTAATCTGAAACCGTACTTGGGCAGGGCTTGTTAAATCAGTTGAATTAACACTACAACTTCAAATGAGTCATATATAAAACAAGACATCCTTTCGCAAGATTGATTGTGCACTTGGATATAAAGACACACCACTCTTTTACATAGATTATCATTTACAAACATTTTTCTCCATCTCAGAAGAAGGCAGCATAAAAATGGGATATTAGAATAGCTTGCTGCACTGGGAAGAAAGAAGAACACAAAATAGGATGAATATAAGGCAAATAACTGGGTGAAAATAGAAGCTTTGTGCTGTACCCAGCCAAAGTAAAAAAAAAAAAAGCTGGTGAGATAGCATCCAAGATGGATTCCACCAATCAAGCAAGAAAGGAATAATAAAGCAGATGGAGGGAGGGAGGGAAGGAGGGATAGATAGACAGACAGACAGACATTTTAATAATTTGCTACTGGTGCATGGGTAAGTAGCAGTTTTAGAAGTGTAATGTAAATTCAGCCAGTTTGAAGTTAAAATGTTACATTTATATTTGAATTTTATATTGATATTTGTAAATGATAATCACATTCTTATATTTTTTGTTTATATATTTGTATGGCCACCCAATTCAAGCTGCATGACTGGGTGGGAAAAATGTTTTATTTGTTTTGAATTATACATTGAAATAGACTATTATGACTATCCATATAAGATATGGATCTATTTTGTAAATTGTGGTTATTTATTTAAACATGTTCTTATAGTTGATCTTATGCAAAATATTGATTAAAATGCTAGGATGAATCCAGGCAGGTAGCAATCCATTGAAATTCAGCTTAAATTGACAATATACTAAATATCACTAAATCTAGCATAATCAACTTGTTAAATTCCTGTTTGGGTATATTCCATATTCCATATATCCATAGATTATCCATATATTAAAAGTATGCAAATTATTATAGTCAGTGCAAGGTAAATTGGCTTTTTTCTTTTATTATATGTATAAAGTTCTATACAAACAACTGCATATAACAAACTTTATTCCACTTAGTCCTGATATTAATTCTAACCCATCCTACCAAACAGAAAGAAAAAAATTAAGTCTGGATCCAGCTGATTTTTTTTCAAACAGTTCAAAGTATCAGTTCCAAATAGAATTCCTACATTAGGTGCAATCTCTTGCCAAATATTGTGCATTCCTTTTAGATTTATGATAATTATACAATCACTATTTATGATAATTATACAATCACTTTAATAATCAATTGCTGTGGAATTCATATATTTAGTGCAGTGGCCCCCAACCTTTTGGGAGTAAAGGACTGGTTCAGTGACAAATGGTTTTCCGGGAGAGGGTGTGGTTTCGTCCGTTGCCTGCATCCCATGCATGCATGGATGGGGCTTCCCCTGCTTGTGAAGTCCAGCTCTTTGCAGGCCACGGACTGGTGCCAGGCCATAGACTGGTGCCAGGCCACGGACTGACGCCAGGCTACCGAGTGACGCCAGGCTACGGACTGGAGGTTGGAGGCCCCTGATTTAGTGAGTTATATCAGTTAGATGTTTTACTCTAATTTGTGTGTCAACTTTTCTTTGTTGATTTTTAATCTCACTGAATTTGCAAAATTCACTGATAATGTTCAGGCAAACCCTCAATGATTTTTTTTTAAGTTTTACAAATACATAAAAAAATATCCTAAATTGTCAAAAGGAGCCAAGGCCAGGAAAAACAATAATTTGAGACAGAAGTTGAGAACAATCATCCATACACCTCCTCATCTTGATTGTCTTTGTGATGCAAGTGTTGCACTTTGTATGCTGTGGTAGAGAAGGTATATTTCTTACAAATTTGGATTGAGTTATTCATAGTAATCTATTGTCCCTTATAAATAATGCAGAGTCACAGAGCAATTGGTACACAGGTTTTGCCTGAATTACTTTAGAGCCAATGACATGTAATTGACCTTAGGAGAAAAGAAAAAAAATCTTAAGTATTTAATGGATTTAACTTGCTGTTATGTTCACATCACCAAGCCATTTATATTCTGTATTTTTGGAAGTTATGTATTTACTTCAGTGAGGTTTAACGAGCATTCAATAAAGTTGAAATGTGTGGAAAGGATTTGAATTGGGGAAAGGGAAGTTTAGTTTTCTTAGTAAAAAAATTTCTAATGAAACAATGAGGCATTACACTACTTCCATTGAAAACTATGTGCCATCTGATTGCTCTAAATATTCAGTGATTGCTTTAGATAAACATTGCATTTTATAATTACACATTGCTTTAGATAAACACACTTTATTTTGTCAAGAGGCACTCTTAAAGAAGAATTAAATGTTTCCCAAAACTTATTTCCAGTACTGACATGGAGATATCAATATTATGCACTTAAATCTACAGCCCAACACCAGCAGAAAAGGGGTACAAATATGAGGAAATAATCTAGGAATAAAGAGAGTTCTTATAAAGTTTTTAAATGTCTGCTCAAGGTCCTTGTTTATTTCTACTGGGAGATGTTTAAATACACACTTTGCTCTCATTTTGAAATTACTTAGCTATTTAAATGCATTTGTTTTATACCTGCCTTCTTGCACAGACTTACAATGGATATTACTCAAATATCAGTAACTT